ACAAGATTTTAGTCCAGGATATCTTATTCTTTTAATTTCAGTTCTATAGTCTTCCAAGGACACAAGGATAGTTTTTAAAATATTTTTTAAATTTTCTTTTTTGGTGATACTAGGGCTTGAACTCAGGGCCTTGTACTCTTGCTTAGCCTTTTCCACTCAAGGCTAGCACTCTACCACTTGAGCCTCCACTTTTGGTCTTTTGCTGGTTAATTGTAGATAAGAGGCTCTCAGATTTCTCTCCCTAGGCTGGCTTCAAACCACAATCCTCAGATCTCAGCTTCCTGAGTAGTTGGGATTACAGGCATGAGCCACCAGTACCCTGCTCAAAAGATTTCTTGATGATTGACAGGAGCTGCCCCAAACAGTTAATAGAAGTTATTTCTAAATAATAAAATTGCACATAGTTTCTGTTTTCCTTATGTGTTTCTGAGGTTCTATAGTAAGGACATACAAAAAAATTCTAGCAAAAGCAAAATAATTTTAAAACAAATAGGTTGTTGGTAAGCTGTAGCCTTAAGTATTTATAGTCTAAGTCTCATTCTCTGTATGAATTTAAGAAAGTCACTTTTTCCTTAAGGGTAGTGTTCTTTTGTCTATAAAACAAAATTGAAAGGAGGACCTGCTTAGGTGCTGTTGCTATTGTTTTTAATGGTTTTTGTGTGTGTGCCAGTACTGGGGTTTGAACTCACAGTACACTCTCACTTGGCTTTTCCACTCAAGGCTGGAGCCCTATCACTTGAACCACACTTCTACTTCAGCTTTTTGCTGGTTCACTGGAGATAAAAAGTCTCACAGACTTTTCTGCCTGGGCTGGTTTTGAACTGTGATCCTCAAATCTCAGCCTCCTGAGTAGCTAGGATTACAGACGTGAGCCACCATGTCTGGCCTGCGACCATCATAACCTTTGCAGTTCCCCCAGCCCCTTTTTTATTCCTACCCAAGTCCACTCTTTCCCTTGTCGTCTTCCTCAAGCATTGTCACCCAGCATTGTATCATGTATCTCATCTGAAAATAAGGAAATCTTTTCTGGACCCCACCCCACCCCCAGATCCTCCCAGGTCTTTTTAATTCTGCTTTCCACCTTAACTATTCCACAGATCATCTGCCCTTGCTCTATCGCCTCTACCATTCTTCAGTTCACTAGTCTGGTTTCTATCCCATGGTGACACCAGAATACTTGGGCCACTCAAGGCCACCAATGCGCTCACACTGCCTGTGGGATCGGGTGGGATCTGGTGGGATCCAGTGGAGATTATGCTTTTCTCCCTCCCAGCCCACCTTCTTTCTCTGTTGTAGTTGTAGTAGTTGTTGTTATTTTAAATAGTTGGGCAAAGGGATTTCAATTTAACAAACCATTTTATAATGAGTGCAATAGATCTGGATCAGTGTTGCTCCCTGTTTTCTTTTAAGCGTAGATACATCTCTATTGTAGGACCCAAGCAGCTGAGAACCCCAGAACTTTCTTCTGCTTTCCACACAGCCTACCTGGTTCTATGCAGAGACACCAAGGATGCACTGATCACCATCCCCTTAAAGTCATGCCTCCTCCATCCTTGCCCATCTCAGCCAATGGCTCCACACATCATTGGAAGACAAAAAGCCCCAAACCTCCACAATCCACAATCTTCATCTGCCACACCCAGCCAGACCATGAAACCATCTTGCCTCCCAGACCCTCATCCAGAGTCCATATTCCCTCCCGCCAAAGCTGGCTCTTGCAAGTCAAGTTCATTGAACTTTAATTGTACATAGAGTGAAAGTCGCCATTTTCATTGTACAAGTTTTGATAAATGTATGCAGTTCTGGAACTGCCACCGTACAACACTTGAATTGCTCCTGTTTTTTTTTTTTGTTTTTTTTTGTCTATAAACCTTTGTGTACCATTTTAGTGTTGGCAGAAGCTTTCATTTGTCTTGGGGAAATAGCTAGGAGTGGAATTGGCAGGTGCCACTGCAAGTTGATGTTTAACTTTATAAGATACTGTCAGACTGTTTTCCCAAGTGCCTGAATCACTTAATTCCCACAAGCAACATACTTTATAAAGAAAGCTTCTAATTATTCCACTAGCACCAGCTAGTTTGGAGTTTGCTGTTTGGGGGTTATTTTTTCTATTTTAATCATTCCAATGGTAGCTTGTAGTTTATTTTAGATTTCCAAGACTAGTGGTATTTATCATCTTTTATATAACTATATGCAATCCATATGTCATTGGGGCAGTGTCTACTAATGTGTGTGTGTGTGCGCGTGTGTGTACATGTGCGCACACGTGCATGCACATGCATATGTGCCAATCCTGAGGCTTGAATTCAGAGCCTGGGTGCTGTCCCTGAGCTTTTTTGCCCAAGGCTGATAACTTCACCACTTGAGCCACAGCGCCACTTCTTGCTTTTTGCTTGTTAATTGGAGATGAGTCTTGAAAACTTTCTTGCCCCAGCTGGCTTTGAACCATGATCCTCAGATCTCAGCCTCCTAAGAAGCTAGGATTACAGCCATAAGCCACTAGTGCCCGCCTCTTTTACCTATTTTTATTAGGTTTGCTTTCTTTCTGTTGCACTTTGAAAGCTCTTTATATATTCTAGGTACAAAGTCTTTCATCAACTAAAAGGTAATTTTGTAAAAAAAAAAAAAAGAAAAACTCCTCATCTGTGCCTGTGTTTACTATCTTTGTCAGACCAGCCCTTTTTTATAGTTTTTTTTGTAAACCACATGTGTATGCAAGTCCATATGTTACAACGCTGAGGATTAAATATAGACCCTTGTTTATGATACCACTGAGGCATGTCCCTGCCCGACATTTTCCATTATGATGAAGTCTAAATCCATTTGTCCTTTCATACTTTTGGTTTTGGCTCTTGAACATTTTGCCCAAATTTCTGTCTACAAGGACTACCTATAAAAATGAGATCTGAAAGTACCTTCCACATCATGCTTCTGTCTTTTCTTTCCTTTTTTGTGGCAATATTGGGGCTTGAACTCTAACGCTGGGCACTATCTCTTAGCTTTTTCACTCAAGGCTGGCACTCTACCACTTGAACCATTCTTCCTTGGCTTTCTGGTGGTTAATTGGAGATAAGATTCTTCCAGACTTTCTTGCCCTAACTGGTCTTGAGCTTCAGTCCTCAGATCTCCGCCCCCTGAGTAGCTAGGATTACAGACATGAGCCACTAGCAGCAGATTTAAGGTTATCTTCTTAAAATCCAGATTGTGTCATATTGTTTTCCCTGTGCAAAACCCTCAAGTGGCTTTCCATGCTCTTAGAACAAATTCTACAATCTTTTAAAGCCTAAAAGGCTCACATAATCTGGTTCCCGCTCCCTTCTTCAACCAAATTTCTCTCCCCATCAGTCACAATTTTCAGGTCTCAGACAAGAAAGAAATACTTTTTTTTCTTTCTTTCTTTCTTTCTTTTTTTTTTTTTTTTTTTTTGGCGGTCATGGGGTTTGAACACTGGGCCTGGGCACTATCCCTCAGCTCTTCAGCTCAAGGCCAGCACTCTACCACTTGAGCCACAGTGCCATTTCTGGTTTTCTGATCGTTAATTGGAGTCTCGTGGACTTTCCTGCCTTGGCTGGCTTTTAACCACGATTATCAGATCTCAGCCTCTTGAGTAGCTAAGATTACAGGTGTGAGCCACTGGCAAGAAATACTTTTACCTGCTAAGAGAATTTCTGCAAAAGTAAATAAACGTTTTCAAACAATCGAAGAATGTCTTAACCTTACTGGGCTCTCCGTGGACTTCTTTAGTCCTTTCAGCCTGTAATTCTACTTTCCTTCAGATGTTTTAGCTAAAGAAATACATGCATCCACAAGAAACATCTTGAAATTTGGCAAAAAGGCTGGGCTTCTGACCAAACTAAAGATCCTGTCTCTATCTGTATACATGGATGTGGCTCACCTTTCCATCTATTTAAAATAGCTTCTCATGCATCTACTGCCAATTTATCCTAATACAAAAGAAACACAGGACTGTGGTGATGCTCATGGGAAAGTCTGAAGCTGTGAACCTGAGATAAGAGAGAGAGCCATAAGATTTATTGTTTAAACAAACCTAGAAACCAGCACATTCTATCCATCCATGTTTATTCATTAGGGAAGACATATGGAGATGACTAAGATATAACCCAGGCCTTTAAAGAAACTCAAATATGAGTGGGGAGCCAGGTGCTGGTGGCTCATGCTTGTAATCCTAGCTACTCAAGAGGCTGAAATCCAAGGATCATGGTTCAAAGCCAGCCTGGGGAGAAAAGTCCATGAAACTCTTCTCTCCAATAAACCACTAGAAAACTGGAAGTGGGGCTGTGGCTCAAGTGGTAGAGAGCTTGCCTTGAGTTGAAGAGCTCAGGCACAGTGCCCAGAATTCAAGCCCCACAACCAACTGGAAAAAAAAAAATGAGTAGGTACCCAGAAAATGCAAAATGAAAAATACTTGTTCATGTTGACCTGTCAAAGCATTCAATTAATCCAAGGAGAAACCAGTTGCCCCATTATTAGCATCCAAGACTAGTTGATTGTTAAAATGAGGCCGGCAAGGAGTGTTTCATGAAGTGCTTAGGGGCTCAGATTCCATGACACTTCTCCAAACTTAAAACCACCTGGAGAACCCGGTAAAAATTCACACCCACGACTGGGCACCAGCAGCTCACATCTGTAATCCTAGCTACTCAGGAGGCTGAGATCTGAGGATCATGGTTCAAATCCAGCCTGGGGAGGAAAGTTCTTAGTCTTCAGTTAAGCAACAGCAAAACCAAAGCGGAGGCGTGGCTCAGGTGGTAGAATGCCATCCTTGCGTGCAAAAGCTGAGGGACAGCGCGCTAGCTCTGAGTTCAGGCCCCAGTGCCAACACACACGCGCATTCCGAAAACAAATAGGCTTTATCTATCTACACGGTACTGCTCGGCTGGAGGCAGACTGTAAAGAAGTTTTTAATGGGAGGGAAAGCTTGGGAGTGAAGCTGGCTTTTCCAAGTGAGGTGACGTCCTGTGCTGTCCCTTCCCTCCCAGGTTGGCGGCGCCCGGGAGCGCGGCCGGCGCAGCCCGCAGGAGGTGAGCGGCCGCTCTGCCGCAGGCTTGCCATGCACTGAAGGAGACGCGCTGCGGGTGACCTTCGCTTTCAAAGATGTCTGCTTGTAGCACCTTCACTGAGCACGTGTGGAAACCCGGCGAGTGCAAGAATTGCTTTAAACCTAAGAGCTTGCACCAGCTCCCCGCGGACCCGGAGCCGGGCCCGGGCGCCCATGGCGGCGTGAAGACCAACGCCAACCACAGCAACAACCACCGCGTCCGGGCCGCGGGCAGCTTCCGGCCCCCCGTGGCCAAGAAGCCCACGATCGCCGTGAAGCCCACGATGATGGTGGCCGACGGGCCGAGCACGGGCGGCGAGCCGGGCACCCCGGAGTCCGGCGAGAGCAAACCCGTGGCGCCAGGGTGGAACCGGAACCGGGCGGCCGCGGGTTCGAAGCCGCTCACCACCACCACCACCAATAACAACAACGGGGAGCCCGAGGGGCTCAGCCTGGCCCCCAAGTTGTACGAGCCCGCCAAGAAGGGGCCCGGCGGCAACAACAACAACAACAACGAGGACCACGGGCTGGCGGACGTGCTGAAGGAGGTGGCGGGCCTGGGCCTGGACGGCGAGGCCAGCGCCCGGGAGAGCTTCCTGGGGAGGATCAACGACCGCTACCGGCGCTCGCTGGAGAGGGCGCTGCCGCCCAGCTGCCTGCTGGCCGGCGGCCGGGAGGCGCCGCCCGGGCGGCGCGTGGTGCTGAGCGGGGCCGCCGCGGTCATCAGCAGCGAGGGGGGCCGCTTCTGCTACCCCGAGCCGTCCAGCGGGGAGGAGAGCGACGAGGACGCGCGCCCGGGCCGCCCCGAGGAGGCCGACGAGAGCTGGGGCGAGAGCGACGAGGAGCTGCTGGCCATGGAGATCCGCATGCGCGGCCAGCCGCGCTTCGCCAACTTCAGGGCCCACACGCTGTCGCCCGTGCGGCTCTGCGTGGGCAAGAAGTGGAACACGGTGCCCCTGCGGCACAAGTCCCTGCAGCGCGTCTGCGCCGTGGACTACGACGACAGCTACGACGAGATCCTGAACGGCTACGAGGACAGCTCCGGGGCCTCCTCCGGCCAGGGCAGCGTGCAGAGCATGGGCTCGTCCAGCTCCACCTCGCCCGAGTCCTCCCTCACCGGGGAGTCGCGCCCCGAGACGGCCAGCAGCGCGTCCCCGAGGCTGTGCAACGGGGAGCCGGTCCCCGAGCAGCCGGGGCCGGGCAGGGACGGCACGGAGGCCGAGCCCGGCCCTGCCGGCCCCGCTGGCCAGGAGAAGGACGCGTCCCGGGCTTCCAAGGGCTCCGTCAAAGCTCCGGAGACTCACAAAGCCGTCCTGGCGCTCCGGCTGGAAGAGAAGGACGGAAAGATTGCCGTGCAGACGGACAAGCAAGAAAGTAAAGTCTCCAAAGAGATCGCCGGGCAGGCGGTGACCATCAGCCTGGTTCCGGTGGAGGAGCAGGCGAAGCCGTACCGCGTGGTGAACCTGGAGCAGCCGCTGTGCAAGCCGTACACGGTGGTGGACGTGTCGGCGGCCATGGCGGGCGAGCGCCTGGACGGCCCCGCGGGCAGCGCCCGGGCCGCCGGCCCCGCCTCCACCCCCAGCTCCCCGGTCACGTCGCCCACGCTGACCCCGGGGCCGGTCAGCGCGCGTTTCCCAAAATCCAGCGCCATCCGGTACCAGGAGGTGTGGACCTCCAGCACGAGTCCCCGGCAGAAGATCCCGAAGGCCGGGCTGGCGCCGGGCGGGCCCGGGCCCGACGCGCCCCCGAGGAGGAGCTGCCACAAGTCGGCGCCCACCTCGCCCACCGCCACCAACGTCGCCTCCAAAACCATCCCGGTCAAGTCGCCCAACCTGTCCGAAATAAAATTTAATAGCTACAACAACGCGGGGATGCCGCCCTTCCCGATCATCATTCACGACGAGCCGAGCTACGCGCGGAGCTCCAAAAACGCCATCAAAGTCCCCATCGTCATTAACCCCAGCGCCTACGACAACCTGGCCGTCTACAGGAGCTTCCTGGGGACCAGCGCCGAGCTGTCGGTGAAGGAGAAAACCACGAGCGTGATAAGCCACACCTACGAAGAGATCGAAACCGGGAGCAAAGCCTCCGAGGCCGCCACGGCCGCCGCGGGCCGAGCCGCCGACGGCGCCCAGGAGAAGGGGGCTTCCGGCGGCGCGGGGCGCCCGCGGGGCGCCGTGGCGCAGAAAGTTCTGGAGTTTAACAGCTGCCTCAGCAGAGGCCAGTCGTCCCCGCAGAGGAGCTACAGCTCCAGCCACAGCTCCCCGGCCAAGATCCAGAGGCCCCCGCCCGAGCTCGCGGCCAAAACCGAGGCCGCCCCCGAGTGTCAGCCGGCCGCGGGCAGGGAGCAGGCGAGCGCCGCGGCCTCCCCGACGGTGCCTGCCGTCCAGCCGCCCCAGGGCCCCCCCGAGGCCGCCCCGCCGGGCCCCAAGACCTGCAGCGCCGAAGAGCTGTACGCCGTGCCCCCCGACGCCGAGCCCGCGCCCGCCAGGCCCAAGTCTCTCTTTACGCCTCCGGCCGGCGGAGAGGCCGAGGCCCCTCCGGCCGCAGAAAGCCCACCCGCCAGAGCGCAGAAAGAGCCCCTGGCGAAGCCGGCCGCGTCCCCCCGCGCCGGGCTGCGGGCCAGCCCCCCGGGCGCGCCCTCGCCGCCCTTCCCGCCGCCGCGCTCCACCTCCTCCCCCTACCACGCCGGCAGCCTGCTGCAGCGCCACTTCACCAACTGGACCAGGCCCTCCGGCCCCGCCCGGGCCACCGAGGCCGAGGCCGTCCTGCACCCGGAGAGCAGCAGGCGGGCAGCGGACGCCAAGCCCAAACGCTGGATATCCTTCAAAAGCTTCTTCCGCCGTCGGAAAACGGACGAGGAGGACGACAGAGAGAAAGAGCGCGAGAAAGGGAAGCTGGTGGGCCTGGACGGCACGGTCATCCACATGCTGCCGCCGCCGCCCGTGCAGCGCCACCACTGGTTCACCGAGGCCCGCGGCCAGGCCAGCGAGAAGCCCGCCATCGTCTTCATGTACCGGTGTGACCCGGCCCAAGGCCAGCTCAGCGGGGACCAGGCGGCCGCGGCCGCGAGGGGACGAGTGGAGGAGGTAGAAGCCGGGGGATCCGAGAAGAAGAGCGTCCATTCGCCACCACAGATCCCAGGAACAGGCCCCAGGTACGTAGAGCACCCTGGTAAGGAGACGGGGAAATTTTCTTAACACGCTTTTAGGTGCTAAATTTTATTTAACATCTTTGATGATTGCACAAGAGCCATTTCTGCGGGCCATCATCTGTCTGGAGAATGCATTCCCAGATTAGAATAGTACCCGAGCCATCCGATTGCACTGAACAAAGTTTATGGCCCTGGCTCTCTAGCTAAGGTAGCCGGCTGCATGCTGGTGAATACAGACGAGCTTTACCATAGCAAAGCAAGCCCACCCCGCTGGAGCAGCAGCAATCCATTGGCTGTCATGGTTCTGTGCAGTTCTGTGGCTGTGTGAGGAGAAGCAGCATCAATTGAATGCTCTCTCTTCACTGTAAAGGAAATCAGAGTCTTTAAGCAGTTCTTTGGGGCTGTTACGAAAGTGTTATCCCCTTAATGCAATTACTTTATTGGAAGCAGTGTTTGGTTTTATGTTATTCTCTCCTGGACTCCTTTCAAGTGTAGTGAAAAAGTGGAGAGAGCAAGGAGCACTTTATAGATTTTTTTGTTCTAGTCCTGGGGCTTTGAACTCAGGGCCTGGGAACTGTCCCTGAGCTTCTTTTGCTCAAGGCTAGTACTCTGCCACTTGAGCCACAGTGCCACTTCTGGCTTTTTATGGGTACGTGGTACTGAGGAATCGAACCCAGAGCTTCATGCATGATAAGTAAGTACTCTACCACTAAGCCACATTCCCAGTCCTATAGATGTTTAACATAGAATAAGAAGCCTTTTCGTGTGTGTGTGTGTGTGTGTGTGTGTGTTTGTGTGTGTGTGTGTGTGTGTGTGTGTGTGTGTGTGTGTGTGTGTGTGTTTGCTGATATTGGGGCTTGAACTTGGCCTCAAGCCCTCACTTGGCTTTTCCTGTTGCAGGCTGGCTCTCTAACACTTGAGTCACATCTCCAGTTCTGGCTCTTTGATGGTTAATTGTAGATAAATGTCTCTCAGATTTGTCTGCCTAGACTGGCTTTGAACCTTGATTCCAAGATCTCAGCCTTTTGAGTAGCTAGGATTATGGCATAAGCCACTAACACCCACCTCACACCCCAGCCTTTAGCTAGTGAAATGGAGATAAGAGTCCTAGACTTTTCTGCCACATAGGCCTTTAAACCTCAATATCAGATTTCAGCCTCCTGAGTAGCTAGAATTACTGGCTTGAGCACTGGCACCTGACTCTATGTCCTGAGTACTGCAGTCCAATTTTGAGCCATCTTCCCTCTTGACTTAGCAGTGAACCTTCCTTCTCTGCCCAGCCTGGTTCTCTCTGGCAAAGACAAAACAACCTCTGCTTAATGGGGAAGATTCTCTTGCCAGTTTTTCTTTAACCAAGTATAAATAAACATGTGTGAACACTTGATACCTTCGGTCTCCCTAGCAAAATGCCACGAAGTTTTATACATGCTCTTTAAGAAAATGAGCCACCAAATAGTTGTCAAGTTCTAGCCATGTCCTGTTTTCCTTAAATCTGTGCAGTTGCAAAGCAACTGGAATAGCAGTAATACATTCCTAGAAGAGTAGTCTTACTGGTGGTTGAATGCTGAATGCTATATTCGGTGTTTGCGTACTCAGTGATAGACTGTCCTACTCAAGGAGTCATAAAATGCATGTATTGCTGGTTACTGTTGTATTTCGCAAAGAGGCAATTTGAGACAGCAAGAGCTACCTGGGGAGGGCTGGCAGATAGTGCCTGCAGATCAATACATGGCTTTATGCCATGTGGGTATGGCTGTGGTGCATTATCCACACCCTGGAAGAGTCAATGATTCAGCCTCTCTTCTGAATGAATAAATGAGTGAATGAATGATTCAGCAACTGTCCTTTGGCCTAACACCATTGTGTGGGGGCTTGAGGGCAGCCCCCTTGCCAGATATTTGTATTTTCACAGATTGGGTTATACTTGGACCAGTCATGCTTTCCAATTTTCTTTTCTTTTCCTTCCTTCCTTCCTTCCTTCCTTCCTTCCTTCCTCCTCCTTTTCTTCCTTTCTTTCCTTTCCTTCCTTCCTTTCTTTCTTCTTTTGTTGTTGTTGTTGATACTGAGGCCTGAACTCAAAGCCTCTTCTTCTTGTTTGGCTTTTTCACTTTAGGCTGGTGCCCTACCACTTGAGCCACACTCTACTGGCTTTTTGCTGATTAATTGGAGATGAGAACCTCAAAGACTTTCTTGCCCAGACTACCTTTGAACCATGATCCTCAGATCTCAGCCTCCTTAGTGCCTAAGGTTGCAGGCATGAGCCACCATTATCTATTTTCTATTTCATGTTTTGGTTTTTGTTTCTACCTCCCCCCCCCCCCCCTTGATGGGCTTGAGCTCAGGGACTCACTAGGCAGGTGCTCTCCACTTGAACCACACCCCTATCCCCATGGCTTTCCTTACAGTAACCCCACACAGCCACACAACACCGCTGGGCACTCTGGAGGGATGATAAGGCAGATGGCAGCACTCCCAGAGTTTCCAGCCCAGCAGTTCTCAGTGCCGGTACTTTACACTTCCAATAACTGCCACTGACTGAGTTCAGACCACACTTCAGAGCCACTGATCTCACGCCAGCCTAAAGATACATGCTGGAGTCCAGGGAAAGCCTCATCAGAGGTATTAAGCTGTTGTTAAAGGCTACACGGGAGGCTGAAATCTGAGGATCGGGTATGGTGGCATAGAACTGTATTTAGGAGGTATAGTTGGAAAGTTTGAGGTCAGCCTAGGCCAAAACACAAACCTTCTCTCAATAAGCAAACCAGGCATGGAGGCTCACATCAATAAACCCTGCTACACAGGCACAGGTAGGATGACTGCTGTCCAAGGCCTGGCCCTGGAGAAAAAAGCAAGACCCTGTCAGAAAAATAAATAAATGAAAAAAGTGCTAGAACCATGGCTCAAGCCAGACTAGCTAGTTAGCTAGCAAGCCCTAGGCCCTGAGTTCAAACCCCAATACCACCAAAAATTTTCTCATTTCATACTGTCCCCAAGCAAGTAGAAAAAGTAGTATTCATTAGGTTATTTTTAACATTGTGTAAAGTTTAGGACATGAATATGCATATCGAAAAACATACACCATTTGCTTCTTAAATAATTGCCTCCTTTACTTGGGCACACCATTGGTATTTACTTGAAGCAACTTAGAGGGAAAAAGCATTACAATCAAATGTCAACATTTGTGTTTCTGGCTTGATGGCAGTGCGCACATTAAGATACCATCCCACGGCTAGGGGCACACTGCTGACAGAAATGAAAATACAATTTTACTATGAGTAAATGAAGATTCTGAATCTAAGCTGTCTGTAAGGAATGAAGAATGAACAACTCCTGCACTGAAGGCCAGACCCAGGCAGGCCCCTAAAAGATGAGCGGGATGGAATGCCATCATTTATTTGATTATTCAGAAGACAGAACCCAAATATATATGCCAGACGACATTAGAACAGGTAGCGAGGAAGGACATTGCTGAAATTGTAAAGTTAAGTTTAACTTTAGCTTCGACTAGTTGGGTTACAATGATGCCTAGCATACAGACTTAATTTGAAGATTTCACGAGAAGGCATAAAATAGGCATAGCACACACAGTGCGGCATAGTGGGTGCTAAAAGATGGTAGTAGCTCCTCTGCCCTCACTGTGATGGAGCTAGATGTACAGAAGCACAAATGAGAGTGGTTAAATTAGCTTAAAACAGATGCTTAGAAATAAAGTTGGAAGCTGGGAGTTGGTGGCTCATGCCTGTAATCCTAACTACTCGGGAGGCTGAGATCCAGGGATCATAGTTCAGCCCAGGCAGGAAAATCCATGAGACCCTTATCTCTAATTTTCCAGCAAAAAGCAAGAAGTAGAAGTGTAGCTCAGGTTGTAGAGTGTCACCTTGAACAAAAAAGCCAAGTGAAAAGTCCAAGGCCCATGCAATGATCACAGGTTTCTGAATAATGCAGTTGAGTTTGGGTCTCAGATCCACTCCCAAAGTCCCGCGGAACTACTGGAGAGTGGGACCTAGTTGAGGGCTGTGCCCTTGATAAGACTATTAGAACTCCAACCCCTTCTTCCCAACTCCTCTTTGCTTCCTGGCCACCATGAGATGAGCAGCTCTCCTCTGCCACATGCTCCCGCCATAATGTACTGCCTCACCACAGGCCAGATGACCATTGACAGAAACTTAAACCCTTCCTCCTTGTCAGCTGATTATATCAGGTGTTTCATCACACTAACAAATACGAATGGTAAGACATTTGTCTTTCTCACTGTGTTGACTTTTGCATTGATGATGCAAAAACTGTTCTAGGTGAAACTGTTTGTTTTATAGTAAGCATCAAGGCCACGGCACTATATTGGGAATTGAAAAGACAAAAAGGTTTTGCTTAAGAATGTCTTTGGTGGGATCAGTGGCTCACACCTGTAATCTCAGCTACTCAGAAAGAAAAGGGAAGGAACATGGTTAAAGGCTAGCCCAGGTAAAGAGTTGGTGAGACCCTCATCTCAATAAGCTAGGAATGGTAGCTCAGGCCAGTGATCCCACCTACCAGAGAGGCCATCGGTATGAGGATCATGGTCTGAGGCTGTCCCTGGGGATAGGAAATCACCAGATCTACTTAAAAACTAACTATAAAGCAAAAAAGGGCTAGGGACACTCAAGTGGTAGAGTGCCTACCTAGTAAACACAAGGTCCTGGGTTCAAACCCCAGTACTACCAAAGAATAGAATATCCTTGATGAAGTCCTAAATTCATTACATCTCAACTCTTTAATTATCTATCTTGTTAAAGATTCTGTGTGCTGAGAAAGTACACATAGAATACCTTCTTGTATATATTTATACCACAAGGGTGGTGGTGAAGTAGTTTGAGTGAGAAGGCTTAATCAGCCCTCTCATTCCTGGGGGAAAAAAAACTCACCAACAACTTCATCTGAGTACTCAGCAGGCATTTTTCTGAATGACCATAGTGAGCCTACCATTTCCATGGGAAAAGCTGACTGGATTTATTGTCAGTGATAAA